AACAAGGTGCTCTCCTTACTGGGTCTTCATATGTTCGAGTATGATATTTCTTACTCACTACTCTTATATGTGGGTTTGTGTACCTGAGACCTCACTCAGCTACACCGCGAGTCATGAACAGTTCTCCTGATTGTGGCACCCAGGAGAGGATCTTTCGTAAGTGGCGAAGCATGTACAGTCCTCATCATTGCGGACTGTCGGAGGCGGCGTGAGCAGCGCGGTTCGAGTCCGCGTTCGGCTCCCTTGCTCTACCAATGGCGATCGGGTAGAGATCGATTTAGGAAGGAAACAACCAATGATGGAAACGCCGCAGGTGAGAACCGCTGATTGCGACCCGACAATTGCGGTGATATTAAAAGTATTCGATGGGGTATGAGGGATCCCCAAGAGTACGCCTGATTCTGAGTACCCTTATTCGAAAAGCTTTTTTGGATAGTGTTGAAGGATGTTGTTCCTTTCGGAATGATGGAGCACAATCCTGGAGTGAACTTTCTCTATGTACTTCTAAACCCGTATGCTTGACAACGCTCCCTGAGTTTCCCTATTTTTGGAGATAGAACGCGTTTCGCAGAGTCGCGCGACAACGCGCGTAAAAAGCTGGTAAATATAGCAGCAGTTTTCCTGCCTTTTTCTGCATGGTTTCATCTTCGATTTGGCTTTCGAAACACCTTTTATTCAACATAGACTGCAATATAGACAAGAAACTCGCAAAACTAAAGTGAGTAAGAAAGATTCGCGGCACTCAAGAGCGAAGACGCGCCTTACTCTCCAGAAAATAGGGTACATGCTGATTTTGATAAAATAAGCCACTCAGTCAGCGCAGCCGGGATGATGCGCTTTTCAGGCTTCTCCTTGAGAAAGTAGGCAGCATCTTCTGAGAGTGTGCTGATTGAAGGTGTCGTCCTCAGATGCGGAAAAGTCAAGAAATCAACTAGGCGAGATGGGGCTACGAAGCCTTGTGATCAAATTACTCCAAAAATCAGGTGAGTTCTGTTTGTGTTCTCTTCACTACGACTGTGCAGAGAAGAGCTGTTAGTCAGTGTCTGCCATGCATGCAGCGTATGAGAACTGGAATTTTGAATGAAAGTCCCGTCAAATGCGCTTCATCAAGAAACCCGCAGCTCCTAAGAATTTAGTTTCAAGGTGAAGATCTTGATCTTCACATTGGGAAGGCTGTTTGCCAATGCAGGCACTTGCCAAGCGCCTCTCCTCCATTAGTGCTTAGTCCGTTCAAGTCCTTAAATTCTTTAAGTTTATTCCAGATTCGTCGAGCCGTGATGCGAAGAATCGTTCGGAAACCACACCTGTGAAAGAGATAAAGCCGTTCACTGCCGGCACAATGAGGCGAAGTTTCAGTGCAACGGTAGGTCCAGCTCTCGCTCATAGTTCTGTTAAGCTTTCGCACTCAGCACTAGCACCTTTTTCTGTGTGTAGCAAAACTCGATTTAATTCCTGTTGCTTTTTTGAGATTCCATTCCTCTGGAATGTGACTTCTTTCTAGTGCTACTGACGACTTATTTATTGTTCTTTATTTGCCAACAACTATAATCATAAAATGTCACTGTCAGGTTGCCGATGAACTGACGTTGGACAAAGGCTCTAAATTGAAAGCTGTATATCGTGAAGATGACTGGCTTTACGTACATGCATCCGATGGCCAACATGGTTTTGTACCTGAAACGTACTGCACCCTCACAGTGGATCGCAAACCCAGTACGTTTAGGGTTGCCAGTTGAATTTCAGCAATGGGTGATGGTCTAACAGTCACACATTACTGCTAGCTGGATTTGCTGCTGATTTCTCAGCTCTTTCTCAGCTCTCAGCTGGATAAATAGCTAACCATACATTAGTGACCTAGCAAGCACATTCCAATAAAGCGAGCGAGTTGATCCGCCAGCGAAAAAGCCTGTCTGATCTTTGACAATCAGCCCGTCAAAGCTTACCTTTTCAATATTTTCAGCTCTTCCTCAGAAAAAAAGGCTATGACACCGAAAGGCTACCGGGGCCGACCACAGCGTTCAGAGAAATTGATTCCTCACAGTGAACCCGACCCCCATAGTAGGCACAACCCTTCCCCCACACTATAGTGTCTAGGGGGAGAGGGTCGAAGCTGGGAAATTTTTTGATTGCGATAAGTTCGACCCCTCCCTATCGGGGTTTTCGACGTATCGTTGACCCTGGTCCACACTGACAATATGGACTTACCATGCAATGTACGATTAGCGATTCACTGCGTTTCCAGCTGGTCCGGACCATCAAACTGATCAGGGAATGTAGCAGGAAATGTCCTGCTGGCAAAGACTCAACCGCATTGCGCTGCGTGGTCACAAAAAAGCAAGTAAAGTACAGCAGCG